GCACAAAATGACGTCATTACCAAGCCGGTAGAGCGTAGTCCTAAGTTATAACAACATAAGCTATTGTTGTCTTGACAACGTATGGTAAGACTGCTCAAACTCCATGTACAAATATCTCACTGTAAGGAAGACACCATTAAAGCATATGACCTCCCCTTATAAATGACATTCCGAGCCTTTCTTTGCTTTCAGAGAGTGCTGTGTACGTAGTTCGCTTGTGATATAATTAGAGTTTATTTTGATTATATTTCACGTTTGAAAAATTAATCTACTCAGAATACCTAATAATAATGATACAATGAATATAGTACGTATTAATGTATTTTTCTAACACGAACAGATGTAATTAAGATTCAGTATATTTCAAAGACACATGGACCACTTCCTTCCATAATTGTTATTTTCTTCAATTCAGAATAAATCCACGAGAAAAAATGTCGGTCATCGCTCTCTTTTCATAAGAAAGCCTCCATTGTAATGTAAATGAGCAACTACCTAACTATCTTTGAATTACGAAGAATAAAGAATTTTATATAATTAAGAGCTCTAAGGCTAACTTAGGTTAGCGGTTCTATTGCACAATCGGAGGGAAAATATTGCGGTTCAGCACCACCAGAAAACTGCGCTGATAACTGATGAGATATATACTGATGAAATTGTTTACATTAAACTGGCCTCATACATGTACATAGACGTGTTTTAACAATTTCAACCAATTTTTAGCTGACCCTACCGGGACTCTGACTCTCAGGTCATCAAGTCATGCGAAAGTCCTCCAAAGTTACTATGGTAAGAGTAGACAAGCATTCCTCATGCATTTAGACTAATTGGCCAATTTAAACCTACTTCACATTTTGAAATATTTAAACGTTGGGAAAAACTCACATTGATATAGCTGTTGATGGCCTGCGGTAATAATAATACGATGTATATGTATCACGGTCTATAAACGCCTTTTAACGGCACTTAAACTGCGTCTTTATAGTTTACCAATTACATGGTAAAGGATGTACTCCTACAGTTAAAGTTGAGGAGTGACTGAATGCGCGGTCTTCACGTACCTGTACTTTAATACTCAACCCTCCAACGACTCGTGGAATCTGACAGCTCTGCAAATATTTTCCTTAAAACGCCGAGCATGAAAATGGAGGTTAAAGCAGTTGCAGTAGTCTCAATCATTTACCTCCAATAACTACAAAGTGAAGAAAAATGCCTTATTTTTAGCACACAACACGGCTGATGATACCACCCCCTCCCCCTGAAATGATGGTGTCGCCTCAGATAAAGCTTTCACCGATATTTCTCTGGCTAAGTCTGTGCATGTTTATGACCTGTGAAGAATTTGACACATGACTGACGTCATTTACGCAGACAGCGTCGTTAATGTTTCACTTTGCGTTCAACCATGACATAAATCAATCCACAAATGGGAATCCTAACCTTAAATGCTTGCAAAACAATTGTCCAGTCTAACGTGTCCTTATTGCAGAATAATAGATATGGTATTTGAGGACAAATGAAAAACTTTTGTTCAAAATATCAAAAGGTCCGATATGTTAGAATTATGTTGGTTAAAGTCGACTATTCACTTTTTCTAATTTACATGTGCCTATTTTCTTTTTAAATATATATTACACAGGTGTACAGATGTGTTTTTTCTCCTGTTTAAGATAATAATACGACTCCTACCTGTTAACTAAAAAAAAAGGCGCATTTGCGACGAAGGAAGACGTCCACTCATCACATTAATTTCACAAGGTGTTTTCTTTTTTATTTTCTATTTCTGTACAGTGGTGTTACTGGCATCTTTAAAATCGTTTTAGACTGGGAAAACCTGTTAATTATCTCTTAAATGGGCATTTTAAATACCCACACAGACACGCGTGCACATTGACACACAAACATGCCCACACACACGCGAACCACACATGTGTGCACGTGCACTGGCGCTGAATTTTAGCCTTCGAAATGAGACAGTTTTGTTATATATTTGCTCTTTGTGACTTAAAACATCCTATACTTACGATACTCTCTTCGCTTTACAATTAATCAAAGGTTTTTAAAACTGATCCTCGAAATCACTTTGATGGAATCGCAATGGTGAAATGGGTTTCTCTTTTAGTGACGAAATAATTTTTTCTGACAATAAACAGTTATAAATGATTCACTGCTTTTTATGTGGAGGACGCAGAAAGGAGAGAGAGACATTGGACACAAACAATGTCAGACCGAGAAAGGCCAATCACCATGCAGACATACAGCCAGAGGCGAGCACATAAAAACATAGAAGCAGAGATGAAGTAAACAGAAATTATCAACGATCTTATCACCATCCGTAAAAATTGATGATTGTTTGAACAGTGTTACGGAAACAGAAACACCAAGACAGACAATAATTTTTTATATATATACTCACATTTTAGTGGGGTTCTCCCGTACGGATCCACCCATTCAGTTATCCCCGGCGACGAAAACAATAGTGGTGCGTATCCTCCACGGACTTGTAGGGTTAACTGTGGCGGGCCATGCGCGTCTTTTGATTGCTCTTGTCTTGGCATTTTCTTTCATTTTATCTAATTTGGCGTGATTTATGTGCATTGTGCATAAAAGATGTTAGCAACGAACCTTAGAAATGAAAAGGAATGCTTCACCCGAGCGGGTGAGGTCACGTGACTTGCAAGAACCGCTTGACCTGACACTGGTCATACCTTTCACATAATGCGAGTTTGGGGGCGTAGAAGTTCTTTGTCGCATATCCGAAGAGGTTCATCAAAACGAAACAGTTTTTGACTAAATGAAATTGTGCTTGTCAAAAATGTTTGACATTTCTCATCCTCTCTTGTGAAATGTACCAAGAGTAAGTTGTCAGCAAATTTGTCAAAATACAACGTTGTGACCAACTGATGATTAACGTTTCTTCAGGAATACTGGACACCATGGCCTCGCTTACGGTATTCTTTTAAGAGCATTTTATTACATTGTTAACAACCAACCACATTCAGTTACTTTTTTAATCAAAATACAATATAACAGCAAATGGACCTACTCACTGAGAATGTTACAATATTGGTAGTTGAAATAAATGAAAATTAAATTAATGAAGATGGGGGCGTGTTTTCCATGCCAATTTATTCTACTGTGCATGCATTTGGCGTTTTCACATTTCGAATAATTAATTTAATTTTTACGTGCTTTTCCAATGTGCTGAAATGTGTGTCAATAACGTAATCATTTACTTTTAAATTTATCCGAATATTTAGTTACCCAATGGGGTCTGACTCTCGTAACTCGAGTTCCTAGCTGTCTGTTTTTGAAAACGTGTCCTTTGTGGCTTCTAAAATCAAGCAGCAGAAAATATATGCTGTAAAGCCGTATGCTGAATTGTGGTCGTAAAATATTGCCAGTATCCAACCAAAGAGCAATTCATAATGGCTGTGGAAATAATAAAATTGCATATTACATTTTCTTCGAGGTCATCCTTTCAAATAGCTAAGAAATGCACCATATAATGATGCTTAATGATTATTTTGCTTTTTAAATCTGAGGGTAGAAGTTACATTTACAGGAAGGTGAATCCCTGCAAATCCCGAAATCTGTTTAACGTAAGGGTTTTAGTGTCTCTCGTTCACACAGATTGGAATTATGCATCACTTGTAAGTTCAGAGTCTAGAAGTTATTACAGCAGTACCTCAGACAATGGCAGAAACTACATCATATGACTAAACTCCGCTCCGATAAAATTCTCTAGTTATCTCACGCCTGTTTTAGCTTTGAATCTCTATAACAAATTTAGACACGTTGTTCTTTACAAATTTCCTATGTGTAGGCATCAAGGGGAGGGGGATGGTACACGCAATATTCCTAAACATCCCGATAATGTTTACAAGCACAGATACAGAAAAATGTATGCCCTCTGTTGGTGTTTCTCCATGTTTTAGTAACGCCACAATTATATTGTATCATTAATTCTACTAAAAGCAAATACATGTTTGTCGTTAATGCCTGAACTGCATGCCTCATTTCATCTATATCGTTTTTTTTAAATTTTTTTTTAATTTTTTTTTTTTTTTTTTTGCTATTCGCGTCCATGGTCCGGTTTGCCCTTAGACCGTGGCTTGCATCAAGCATCATCCAAGTTCTGCCTTCCACTTAAAATAGGTTTCCAACCTACACACGGCCCACTCCTGGAAGAAATATAATAAACGTCCAAACGTCAATTTATACATAAATCTAAAATAAAAAAGTTCAGCTTTTTATGTGTGTGAATACAGTAATTTAAATTACGTTTAAGATGTGTAATGTAATAATGTAAACACTGGCTTTTAAAATCCAATATTAAAATCTGGAAAAAAATCATATTACAAGAAATATGTTCAGGCTTTGAGGATCTTTAAAAACAACAACAGCCATTTTCAAACATTTTCTAAAAATAAAACAATGCGATTGAGAATTTAACGACGTTTTTTCCCCCACCCTTCCCGATCTGAGAACCTTATTTCTATTCCAGAGGACAACATTTAGAATTATAGTAGCGGGTTTGCGTTATGTACTCACGATAAAAGGGAAGTCAATGTTACACTTCCCCACAGTATTCAGAGCCCAGAGTGCGTAGAAATAATGTGCCAACGTGCCCCAAACTCGGACCTCTCGTATCATAGACTCTGCCTCGTCCTCGATGTCACCGAGATCTATACCACTGGCAGTCAAATAGGTTCTGTAAAATTCTAACTGAAAAACAGAATATATCCCGAGCTGCACCGTTAAACTAAAGGCACGAAACTATACGAGGACTTCGCACTAAAGTTCCTCGAGGAAAAGGCAAGTTTCTCCTCATTACAAATCATGGTTCAACTCGTTCTTGCACTTGCCTTTTGGATACGATATTTTGTACCAACTCTAATTAAATAAGTTATTTCTAAACTATAATTATGACTTATTTAAACCGCCAAGTATTCCTTATATTTCAAAAGAAAACACTGATATCAGAAACATTTTTAAAATTATAAAACCGATACCTTGGACAATGTAGAGAGGCAGCTACGAAGCTCATTTTAAATAAATTGGAGGGGGACAAACACAACCTCCACTTTAAGTATTCTTAACCTCTACTTCATCTCTAATGGATCTCTACTTGGCCTCTGTTTGAAATTTTTGACCTCTGATTGACTTCCATTTGACCTATGTTTGACCTCAGTCCTACCTGCTGTTCCCTGGAAGGATATGTAGACAGACACTCGGGAAACTTTTTCATCTTCTGGTAATCACACCATTCGTTGAAATACGAGGCAATGTCGAACCCTCTGTGGTGAAACATGACAACATGGCGTCATTGCCTAATTTATTAAGGCGTGCAGACTGAAGTTGTACAGCAAAAACATCATTCGAATAAAAAAAAGCTGACTGCATAACCACATCGATCACCCATTTGTGTGTACATGATCGTTTACCATATCGTCATCTGTTACACATCTAAATAATAAAGAGAAACACAGCTAGAGGTTATACTGTATACTGGTACCGACGTTGTGTCTGGAAATTAGGCAAAAGACGTAGCGGTAGCAATACCTGTGATTATAACTACAGAAGTCTAGGTCTATGAACACCAGTTCTTCACTGTTATCCAAAAGAAGAATATTTCCTGGAAGTAATAATATAATATATAAATATATATATAACACAATTTATTATAATAAGTATTATCATTATTAAGTAATTAATTAATAAATAAATAAGTAGTAATTGTAGTGGAAGTAGGCCCGAATGTAACATCTATAGTGACTTTACTTTGACATCATAGCATATTATAAGATTGTATTTTAACTATTACCATATAACTGGTCCAACACAGGTATAAGTCTCACCTCTGTTTAAATCATTGTGACAGAAAACTACAGGTGACCTGACACTTCTGGCTAGTTCTCTGAATAAAAAAATAATCAGTTAAAGTTGTTACTTTTGGCACATTAAATCAGTATATTCAAAGGTATAATGTGCATTGTGCTCACTTTAATTTCTGGTCAAATGGACTTCGACTCGACTGATATACATTAAGCAGAGAAGCAGTTATAAGGTTTATTTATTTTAACAGACAAAGCGTATGGGCAGCCAAAAATGTCCCAATTTGCTTTCACCTTTTAATTAAGATTATATTAATACAACCAGCGCTCCTTACTTAACATCTGCATATTCTGTCCCTAAGTCCATCTCTCCCAGCCTCCGGAGGTGCTCAGCATGGAAACTGTTGCCAGAGCCTGATGTGAGAAGCTGGGGTACTACTGGTAACCATCTGAAGATAAGACTTACATGTTATCACTGGACTAGTGGTAGACCCACGGTTTTTCAAATAAGGGTGATAACAAATTTCGCCTCGCTTTACATGGAGTTACACAGTTGTATAAAATAATTGTTGAGGACACGTTTACAGTAATATGTAGGGCGCAGGGATAGAAAAACAATTGGCTTTGTGTTGTTTTGCCCTTGATACCGTTTTTAGTTGGAGAGAGGAGGGAGAGTTGGTTATTTTAGGCTTGTTCGTACCCCCCTCCCCTTGCCCCGGGTTCACCACAAGTGGCTAACCCAGGATTTCAATAAAAGTACATGTATAGCCAGGACTTTATTTGACATTTTTACAAGAGGTTAATAAATAAATGGTTCTAAAATACCAACATACATACTTCTTCAAAATACCTCAGTTTATTAACTATGGGTAATTATAATACATAAGAAAATAAAACGACAATGAATTAATACACAGCCAGCATGAAATTAATAAAATAACAACTCACTTTTCTATGCACTCATAAAACCAAAACGGTGGTTTACATATCGGCATGGTCAGGTTATGAAACTGGGCCAAGCGCTTTGCCACTCTCTTTGAAATGCTTGGAAGACGCATCTCACTTTCTCTAACACACCGGGACTGGAAATGTATTTGATTAATTATCACCAATTTTGTTCACAAAAACACAAAAACACAATCTTTCACAAGCATTATATTACTAAATATCCCCTGGCCGTACGCTGCTCGATTAAAAGTGCACGGGATCAACTATTGAAGGCTTACAATATACATATGCATGATATGATATGCTTACAATACACATATGCATGGTATGCATGCAAGCGGGTTATACTTATCCTCTACCAAAGTCGTAGATTAACTATGGGCACGTTTCTTCACAGCGATACGTGCCATGAATAATTGCCAAAAACAAAGCTGTGAACATTTAGTGAAAAACCAACATGTGACTCTGGTAGAATGTAGGTTATTTGTACCGCCTGTATGTGGTACTCATCTGGACGCTGCATAAACACGATTTAAAAGAAAAAGTGGCCCAAGGGGCTTCTGATGGACTGGGTAAATAACTATAATTTAATGACAGTCACGAAAGAGTTTCAAAATGAAGACGTGAAGTCCATAGGCCCTACCGGTAAGTATTCTTCGATTCTTCCACCATCAAAGAGACCATACAGCTGTGGGCCTAGCTTCAGACCTGCCAGTATAGAGAATATAACGGAATTCTGGATTACGCCTTGAATGTCCTCTTTGATGACTTCTCCGTAAAACCTTACCAGGGCCTGTCTTGGTTCAAAGCCCTCTACCGGAATGTGGTCTGGTAGTTCGCAGAGGTAGATGTAGTTACTGAGAGCCACACCGTCGCTAAAACCAAGGAGTTATAACAGTCTGTTATAACTCCTTGCTAAAACCGACCAATTCAGTCGCCATTCATTTAATATATAGGCCTACATATAAAATATGAATTTTTCTTATATTTATAAACTTAAATTATTACATTTACAATTGTAATTAGGCATACAATATTAGCATGCATTATGCACAATCTACTGACATATATATGCCCTGCAAACACGTTGCAATATAAATACGGAAGTTCCTAGACCGACGTGTCTCACCCAAGTGACGTCATCCTGATGCTGTCAGCAGTCAGTCGCCACCAGGCCCCGTCCAGCAGTCTCTGGCAGTGACACACGGCGGCCTGGCGGACCTCTGCAGGTATCTGGCCCGTGTTGATGGTATCAGTGATGAGGGGGTGGCAACTGGTACCATGCTCGCTGTCTTCAGACTGGCTGGCTTCATCACTTATCCCTGAGATTGATTCCATGTTTTAAGGTGCTGTGATGCTGCAGTGAAGTTCAACTCGACTTGGAAATAGAGAATTACTTAGTAATGCAGTCACTGTGTCGACTGGGAGTAGCCCACCGTGTAGGCCTACTGCTCAAGTAGGCTTATCCAGTAGTTATCTCTAAATGTCTTCAGCGCTGCGAGAAATCAGCCCAGTGTTGTTACTTTCATACGGGTTACATGTATCACTCTGTGCTTTAAGCCCACTGAGTTCACCAGGTTGATCTTTCCATTCATTAGCTACATAGGTAGGGCCTACATGAACAACCAGCGCTGTATACAGGTAGATGTAGGCTACGTAAGCCCACAACATGCTAGGTACTGTACTGTATACATGTATTCTGTTACAGCACGTGTTAACGTAATCTTAAGCGCGTCTATGAGGCCTACATCTACAGTAGGTCAGACAGTTAATGGAGCAAATTACATTACGACCTCACAGACCTAGGGCTTATATATTATTAAGAGCTCAGCAATGACTTGACCCTTATCTATCACTACCATTTGCGTGAAAACTGTGTATTCGGTATAGTAGGGCCTATAGGTAAAAAATGAATTGCTACATAAACATATGCATATATATATATATATATATATATATATATATATATATATATATATATATATATATATATATATATATATATATATGCAAACTCACCTCGGCCGATCTTAAATGTCTTAAATATTTTTAAAAAGAAAAATCACTCTATAAATTACTTGTTCGCTTCATTAAACGAGGCCACTACCTCTGCTATTTGACTTTTTTTTCCGCTTTGGATTCATTTAGGCTACTTTGTCTACAGTTATAATTTTTATCATTGTGCCCTTTAGATAAGAAGCCATTTATCAATTCATTGACATAAACCCCATCTTTTTCTTTTAATTGTTGTTCTATTTACTTTGTTAAGAGGTTTTCAAGTGGTGACTCATTTACTCCTCTGCTTTCAAAATGCAAATTAAATGTGGTGTGCTTTATAATACACAGTTACCATTGATAGATAAATCGCTTTACTCATTTACTCGCCTGGTTGATGCTGATGTTAAGGGCCTCGAGGTATCTGTATCATCTATAGGCCATATTCGTTTCATTTACGTGTTATCAATCAGTAAAAAAATCGATAAAGCAAGAAACTAATGAAGCAACACTTCCAATATTTATTCTCATCTTCATATAACAACGCTGCAAAAGAATTGCCACACAAACTAGTACTTTGGCGCCACGCTTAGCGTCAGTACGCACGTACGCCTTGGTATGAAGTTTGGATACACCAATAATTGTTGTATCAGTGTAAAAGCCAAACGTTCCCTTTTCTGTCCTCTCTACACGATGTATACACACGCAAATTAACATAGTCAATAATGCAATTATAGGTATACTGGCATTTAAGTCCTTATTTATCACACTTGACCGAAAAGTTCCTCTTTTCTTTTGAAGTAAGTTTGTAACCTGCACATGGCAAACTCCTGAAATAAAAAAAAATAAATAAATACATAAATAAATAATTCTTAGATTCTCATGACATAATAATATTCTAGCAAATAATATCAACCGACGAAATGTCAATAATGTATCAATAGAAACACGAAAAAAACCAAGTGAGATGGAAACAGTGCATAAATGGCATATACGGCATGGACGGTTAATTTTACTCACTATAAAAGGGAAATCTATGGTACACCGGCCGACAGTGTTAAGGGCCCACAGGCCCCAGAAGAAGTGCGCTATAAGACCCCACAAGTCCACCTCCCTCGCCATGGACGCCACCTCCTGGGCTAGTTTACTTTGATCTACGCCGCTCGACCTGAGATATTCTGTGAAGAATTCCCTCTGAAAATGACAAAAAAAATGCAGAAACCATTCAGTTGTCACCCATCAATAAAGTAAATTCATAAAAGCATGCGGTAGTTTTTTAACTGTTCTGTTTACACAAGCTGGTTGTCTAGCTGACAACATTGTGCTGTAGTTAACAATTCTTCAAATCAGATGTGGACATGTGCGACTAATCTCCTGCATTCATTGGACATAATGCTTACATTCCAACGCTATATTTCAGACAATCACACCATTATTAAATCAGAGAAGAGCTAGCATATTTTATTTCTATGAACATGCATTATTTTTTTTTTTGCATCTTTAAGAGGGAAAAATTATAATTATAGGCATTATTACGAATTTTAGTTTACTTCTAAGTGCATGGTACAATATTCGAAACTACGAGAAAATGATGCATTTATTGCGAATTTCCAAGCTACTTTCGCACGTGGTATTTAAACACAGCGGTACAGTTCGGTATATTTAAATGCCACGTGGACCTCCATACCTGCTGTCCCGGGGCGGGGTAGTCCTCCAGGTACTGCGGGAACACCTCCGGGTCCCTGTAGCTGCACCACTCATTGAAATAAGTCGCTATATCGAACCCTCTGTGTAAATAGATGAATAATTGAAAAAATTTAAAAAAATGAAGAAAGTAGAAAAAGAAAGTAATAAAAGTAAAATTGCTAATTAAGAAACTTAAGTATTCAAAATATAGAAGTAAATGTTTGAAAATTATCTTACTTATTAAGTGAAATTGAAAACGATCACAGGCCAGTGCTAGTAGGCTATGTCCAATCTAACATAACAACCTCCATAAGTACAGTCTTTCCATCTTTTTGCGATGACTAAGGCAATACGGAACAATACAATATATATACCTGTGGTTATAGCTGCAGTAGTCAAAGTCTATAAACTTCATCTCGTCATCTCCACTCAGTAGTAGGATATTGCCTAAAAGTGACACCACTAGACAATGAGTAATTTACTAAGAAAAAAATGTGTCAGCATAATTAATATAATAAATGTTTACCATCTAGATAAAATTATGATGGAATCGTATTATTTAATTTTTTTATAGATTTGACTCCCAGAAGCAACTGTGCAATGCACTTAGCTGGATCCCAAAGAAACCTACCCCGATTCAGATCATTGTGGCAAAACACTACCGGGGAGGGTTCGCTGCTGGCTATTTTCCTACAATAAAGGCAAATGATGGGATAAAATGCCTGTCACTAGCATCATGGTGAAGCGACTTAGTTGTGACGTTGCAACAGTTGGGCCTATGTGATACGAGGACTGCCAGGTGCCCTAATATTGAGAAGTATTATTTGACGCTTGGAATTTTTCCCAGACTAGCTAACACCTTTCTTGTGAAATAGAATAGTTTTCGGAAGTTGAGCGAAGAAAAAAAAAAAAAAAAAAAAAGAGAGAGAGAGAGAGAGAGAGAGAGAGAGAGAAATGTCAAGTGCAATTGAAGATGGCTTTTGGGGAACACTTCAATAGCTGGTCTGGTCAGGTTTTTCATACTCACTTTACTTCCTCATACTCCGTCCTCAAATCCATGTCTCTGATTGCTGCCAAGTACCTGTTGTGGGCAGTGTCGTCAGAGCCTGCCTCAGCCCTCTGCAGTACCACGGGCAACCACCTGGTCGGGCAAATAATGGTAGATCTCTTATTAGCATGGTAGTCCGAGTAATGGAAGTCTGGGTCCCATAATGATTACTTACAGGTTAATAGGTTACTCGGAAATCAGAATATGAGGCGAATCAGAGGTAATGGGAAACAGACTTCGGTTCCTAGCAGACTAACCGTACCATTCCCCTGAAAAGATCTAGAGCTATAACCTCAAAAATAGATCTACTTCATTTCAAGATAAATACATAGTAATTTAATTGGAAAGTATATATATATTGGCCTGAAACATTAGGGATGATTTCATTTTACAAAATACATGTAGGAACCAGTACAAAATGCAATCTTATTGGAATACTACATGTACCAGCACTTAGCTCTCTTTGACCAAAATACCCTACTCATACATTTCTATAGAAGTTTAAGTCGGGCACCGTGACATAACTCTTTTATGAAAATGGCCCTAGGGTTACAACGATACTAAGAAGGAGATTTCAAACTCACTTTTCCATAGTATCATATAGCCACGTCGGTTGCTTGCAAATCGGCATTGTAAGGGTGTGATATTTTCCTAACAACTTCGCCACTCTTGTCAGTGTAGAGGGAAGCCGCATCTCGTCTTTTGCTAAACATCTAGACTGTAATGAATTCAGAAATATGAATAATAAATAAATAAATACTTAATAGAACTGTCCCAGATTTTGTGCAAGCATGGCAGTCACAAAATCAGACGGAGAGTAGGTATTATTATTATTATTGTTGTTGTTGTTGTTATTATTATTATTATTATTTCATTTATAATTATTATTATTGCTTATCAGGGAACTATATTTGCTCCAGGGGAAGGGGGGTCTTTTATGTAAGCTTGCACCCTGGGATTCATAAATTACTTAACACCCATTCCCAGTATCATTATTGTACTGGAAACGACCGAGGTAAGACGACTATGATAGCTGAGTTTCCATCTATCTTCAAAATGTGTGAGATTTTCGTCAGCTGTCATGTAGGCAGCTTTAGAACTACTGGTAGCTTTAGCTGGTAGCTGGAACATGTAGCTTTAGAACTACTGGTAGCTTTAGCTGGTAGCTGGAACATGTAGCTTTAGAACTCACTGGTAGATATTCTTCAATCCGCCCTCCGTCAAAGAGACCATAAAGCTGAGGGCCAAGCTTCAGTCCTGATAGTATTGAGAATATGACGGAGTTCCGAATGACGCCCTCAGTGTCCGCCTTGATGACTTCTCCGTAAAACCTAACCACGACTTGTCTTGGCTCACTGTCTTCTAGCGGTACATCTTCTGGTATTTCACAAAGATAGATGTAGTTACTGAGCGCAGCTCCATCCCTAAAGGAAGAAATATAACAAATGTCAATTATTTCTGTTAATTTAGAATACAGAATAAAAGAGAGAAAAACATGAGAAGTGTACAGTGTAGGCTACTAAATTGCTGACTGAACAAACACGGAACAGACAAGCAAGACCTTGTTTTTTTTAAATTTGGAACAGCTGATACGCGTAAAAATGCGTAATAACCCGAATAAATACCAGTAATATAAATTTTTTACGGTCTCACCCGAGCGGCGTCATCCTGATGTTGTCAGCGGTAAGTCTCCCCCATGCCCCACAGAGAAGCCTCCCACAGTGAGTGACCACGGCCTGTCGGACTTCTGTGGCTATCTGGTCGTTAGGGTCCGAGAGGGGCGGGCACCTGTTCTGACCGGTGTCCATCCAGTCCGTCTGATTGGTCAACACTCGTGCTTCATCCTTCAACTTTACACGATGGGAACTGTAACTGGAGATAAATACAAAAAATGGTGATCCTGAAACAAAGGCCTGTAAATTGTTCACAGTTCACGACAACATCGTTAAAAGAATAGACCTAAAATATAAATAGGAATACGCCAATCGTAGGAAAGGCACCCGGGGTAGCGACAATAATAATGAAGTGTCCTCTGGGTAGAGGAGAGTCACAGACTGCTGTATAATACTCAGGGTGAAGATGTACCCGCTCGGTTTTGGTGAATCACTGTTGTACGTGGTCTTAGGGTGTATAATTCTACCGGATAATTTTTAATTTTGATTTATAAACATTAGTGCTCACGTAGAGCTCCATCTGCATGCACACTGTATTCGAATGCAATGCCTAGACATCTTAATTTACAGTCTACACGTGAGAATGTACAGGTAATATGATAATATACTTAATTTATACTATTTATACACTGCAGTGATATACCTGATATACATTGCACTTGTAGGCCTACTTTACATTAGTATTTCGGACGATATCGATCGCTTCTTAAAAGACAACAACCTACCCGGCACGCTATTAAGCTGACCTGCTAAGAGTGTGTGGCTATATGTAGAAAGAGATCGTGTAATAATATTTATCACGCGGCGTTTTTGTGATTACCCAAATCTACGCAATGAGGTCGCAGACATGTTTTATATCGATTTGCTGCACTATTGCTAACAGTTTAAGTGCATGCGAGGTCAATGAACGGCCCGCGTCACTACGACCTCTGTTTAAATCAGTTCAAGGTCAGGTCTGTGAGGTGGGTGGGTTTCGAAGAGGGGGGGGGGGGACAAAGTCTACCCTCTTTTTTGACTTGAAAATGTCCACTGGACCAAAAATTGATCTTATTCTTATCATATGCCGTTTGTCAAGTCGGCTCGACTAAGCGGCCGAGGTAAAAAGGACAATTTATTATTAGAAAAAATAAAACCCTGTGGAATTGCTGGCAACAAGTTCAAAGATAAAAGATTAAAAATATAATCGACCAATCACCGAACCAAATAGTGGAGGTTGAGTGTGGGGTCTGGGGGGGGGGGGGTCTCGAGAGGAGGCACAAGGATCAGTACTAGTGTTTGACACAATTGCTTGACAACATGCTGTAGCAAAAATAAAAGCGAGTAGTGAATAGATGCATCTTCCTCCCTCAATCATCGAAACATTGCAGCAGATGCTTGCATCCTATACAAGGGTGTTGAAATACCAAGAAGTAGGTACATGTACGTTGATTATTCTGTTAACTTTGTCTCTTTTACACTCAGTGCACATAAGTCATATGTGAACAGGGAAACTACATATCGATTATCTTCACTTTCTTCGTTCCAAATATGTCCATGAAACAATTTTTTAACTCACAACATATTTACATGTTACATCAATGTATAAGTCAGGGTGTACAGAGAACGTTTACCTTCTCCTTCGCGGTGTCAGATTTTTTTTTATTTTTATCATAAAAAATTCACCACGAATAAACCGTTTTCCAACAGCTACTCCAAATAAGCTATATTATAACTAAATTAAGTTACTGCACGCCACGCAAGATTTCCCCGCTGTTATTCAATCTTACTTATTCATAATAAATAAATAAATACCCCGGTAGATTAATAAAAAATCAATAATGAAATTCATATTTTTATTAGATAAATAGCTTCTTACAGAATCTTATAATTAAATCATTCAGACACCTCTTCCGTCTTTAAATTTTGAGTGCAATCCTTCGTTTCTCACGTCTGGTGTAACGTCCGTTTATGCAGCAATTAAACCACCGACAATTCAATGGGCTAAAGACATGGCCAGTATGAGTTTTACTTTCAGCTGTCTATAAATTCTTTCTTTTTCATTCTCCATACTTTTTGAATAATAACAATGTTTATCTACTAAAATCAAATTGCGCCATTTCTTTATCAACTGTTCTGAAACACAAACTCAGACATTATTTATTTTTCATTTGTTTCATATTTTTAAAGGCGACTGTCAACATATTAAGTCCACACATGTCAGGATCTCATTTTAATGAACTTTCCCTGTACAAATATCCTGGGAACACAGAGCCCTTCCTTCTTATTGACCGTTTCCCTGGTAACATAGTCACAGTTGTCAATCTGGTAGCCTGCTCTGGCGAACAAATCTGACAGGTAGTCTGAAATAAATTCAAAAATTAAATGAATAAATAAATAAATACATAGTAAAATCATTAAATAAATAAACGAATGAATAAATAAATAAAGTAATGAAATGAAAAAATCTAACACATAAATTAATACTAAAAAAATCATACAAATGAAAAAAATAATCTGACATGAACATATGAATGATTTGATTGATTTAGCATAAAAAAGCAACTTTCCTTTACATGGAAAAAAATGCTCTCCATGTCTCTATGAGGATTGATATATCTACCCAATTCATTTGTTTTTCAGAAAAGAACGCGAGAGCTGTTACCTGTTGAGAAATAATATGCTCGCGTGCCATCTTGTCGCACGTAAAAATTTTCTGCCAGTTTCTGACCCGGAGAAAACCTCAGTTGAGCGTAGTCATAGAGACCATAGTCTCGAACCAGAACACACCCACCTGGCTTGAGGACCTGGAATATCAGGAAATGACACCTTAGTTAACAAATAAAATTGTTTTGACCTATTGGAATTGACATAAGGAGTGAAACATTTCTGAATTAGTCTACTGTAAAAAATCACCAAGCCTGAATAAAAAGGAAAAAGGAACTGTCTGATGATTCAAAATAATTCCATTTCTTGTATCAGCATAATGGTGACAAAAATACAGACATCATTTATTAAAGAAAATTCACATTTTCCCTCTCACCTTATAAATATTTTCTAAAGCAGAGAGCATTTTCTCTGGGTGGATGGCACTGAGCACAAATATCATGCTGACGATGTCCACAGTGGGGTTGACAAGAGTGTCCAGCAGGGGGTCCTGGGTCAGGTCACACTGGAAGGCCATACACTGGGAGCTGTTATACAGGGGGTGGTCCTGAAAAAATTAAGGTCCTTCTCACATCAGGCCAATTTGAGAGGTTGGTGAATCACCATGAAGGATAGAGTGATATTTTTCTTTTTACTTTTAAATTTATTTATTTTTAATTTATGTTATTATTATTATTTTGGGGGGATGTGTATAAGCTGGGTCACTGTGGAGGTGATCACCTTATGGATTTTTATAATAGCAATAACAAGAGTTGTGTTGTAGAGAGAGAGACAGAGAGAGAGAGAGGGAGAGAGGGAGAGAGAATTCCAAGAGCAGAGAAAGAGGGAGGGAGAGATGGAGAGATTTCACAAAGTAAATAAGTGGTACATACCTTCACAAACTGCACAGCTCTTGGAGAAAAATCACAAGCGTAGAAGAAGAGGTTTGGATTCTCTCCAAGAAGAGGGAAAAGAAAATTCCCCACTCCACACCCCACTTCCAAAACAATTTTCTTTTCTTCCTACAGGCACAAAAATAAACATCATAGATGAATGGGGAATGTCCTAGGTACAAAACAGCGGTTGTTTCATCTTACATGTAGTAGTACGGTAGTTACAATTAAAACTGTGGTATTATCATCAAATACATAAAATTACATGTAAAATGTTTCTGAATTAAATGAGGTCAGGCCTGAACAACACTAATCATGAAGACGAAAACATCCAACCTGACTGCTATCAAATCCACTAAGTTCTCGAAACTCCCTGGAAGTCCAGTGTCTGTCTTTAAAG